GGATGGGTTGGGTGCGCGGGGAGCGCGGGCCTGCGGCCGCAGGGCCCGAGAGAGGCCAGGGTCTGTCCGCAGCCTCGAGAGGTGCGGGGTCCGAGCAAGGGCCGGGCGGCGGTCAGGCACCCCGGACACGCGGGGAGCACCCTGGGGATCCCCTCCCCGGCGCTGGGGGCGCCCCGGGCCGGGAGTGGGCCTAAGTCGGGGGAGACTCGGTCCCCATCCATCTGGAGCCGTGGACCGGAGAACTTGTGGTCTTTGTCTGGCCGGCTGGTCGGAGCACGCGAGCGAGAAGTTGTAGGGGCCGCGTTTGCCCACGGCCCCCGCAGCGCGCCGTCCGCCCACCGCGCGCCCTTCGCCTTCCCGGGCCTCGGGGTGGGTAGCCCGGCCCAGAACCGCGGGGCAGAAAACTCACCCCTCTCACCCCGGCTCTTCCCTCGTGTTCTCTACTTTAAGAAAAGACAGAAAGAAGAGGGAGAGGCAGCCAGGCAGTTTCAGGTTGCTAAAGGCACCGCGCGGGGCCCTGAGGTCCTGCGGTTCCCACGCCGGGACGCCGGTGCCGTCCGCTGGCCACCGGCTCGCTGGGATCCTGCTCAGAAGCGGACAGGCCAGGCCCGCGCTCTTTCCCGCGGGGGGACTGTTTTGACGCCTCCTGGAGTCAGCGAGGCAGCGGCCAGCGGGGCGGGGGCGCCCCTGTGCCCGGGCCGTGTGTGCGTCTTGCTTTGCCCCCTAAAGGCACAGATTCTCTTATGTGGAAACGAGGGAAATGCCTCGCAAAAGAGGCCCTGCGGCCCTGGCCGGTGTGGCTCAGTGGTTAGAGCGCACCAAAAGCCTCCTGCTCCACTGAGGGTCAAAGGCACGTACCTGGGTTACAGGTTCAATCCCCTGCCCCTCGGGGTAAAAACCAATGGAAAAAATACCCTCGGGTGAGCATAAAATAAAATTTAAAAAGAGAAAAGGTCATGCCACAGGCACAGGATCAAAGGGTGAATCAAAGGCCCAGGTTCGAGAGCCATCCACTGAGTAGAGAAGCTTCGAAAGTCTGCGTGTTCCTTTTAGAAATTCCTCATTAGAAACATTCACACTTAATTGCTTGGTGAGCATTAAACCAGGAACGCTTTTGCAGAGGAGGGGTTATTGGCGTGAGGACTGCTTTTCACAGCGGCCATGAGGTTCCCTGAGGCAGCTACTGTGTTTCCTCCGGCGCTCGCTGGCTCCTGGGTGTTTATCAGCAGAGCCTCAGAAGAAGGTGGCTAAGGAAAGTTCTTATCGGTGGAATTTTTAAATCCTCCAGCCATGAGGCTGTTGTGTAAATAGCTTCTCCTATCCGTGCCTGAAATCACTTAACCCACAGAACAAACTGTAAAGTCAGGGCAGAGATTATCCCCATTTCACAGATGGGGACACTGAGGCGCCGGGAAGCAAGTTCTCCAAGTTCACGCAGGTATGAGTGACGGAACTCGGGGCCATGGGCGCAGGACGCTCCAGCTCCAAAACCCCACAGTGCCACACTGCCCCCTCTTGTCACTGGCCCCCATCATTCACATGTACACCGATTGGCTGCCTCCCCGCCGCTTGTGCAGACAAGACAGTGTGGTTCACTCTGCCAGGTGATTCATTAAAATGCAGGGGACCGGGGACTAATCCCATGTCACCACTAGTGGCGTTTAAGAAGATAGCCCTGGGGTTCACACAACTGCCCCCAACTGTGCAGGCCTCGCGGCCTGGGTCTGGGCGGGTCTGGGCAGCTCCGGGCAGTGGTTACGAGCGTGGCCTCCAGAGCAGGCTGCTGGGTTCAACACCAGCCCTGGGCAGGGCGCTGACTGAGTTCCTCCGAGCCTCGAGCCTCGGCTTCTCTTCTGTAGAGATAATACCACCTGCCTCGAAGGCCTTTGGCAGCTAGTAGCCTGCAGGTGCTCAGGGCTTGCTGGTATTTATTATTGTTGTTATTAATGACCATCGTTTGGAGTGTTCGCCTGTAACTAGATGAGTAGAAACATTTTGGTTTTGGTTTTCGATTCTTTGTACCTGTGGTCCATGAGGGAGTGGGAGCCGATGAAAAGCAGAAGTGGAATTCGCCATTTCGGTGTATTTATACTGAGCGCGGTAACTTTCCAGGGGGTGGGGGGCTGGGTCCCTGCTGCAGTTTCCGGAACAGGGCAACCAGGTTGCCTGGCAACACCAATCTTGAGTAGGGATGTCTTGTCTCCCCCCAGCCAGCTGAGAGACCCAGATTTTTTCACAGGCCTGAATCCTCGTTTGTAAGATTAGCCACCGAGTTTCCTATCGTGTGAGGAGGACGTGCTGGGAGGTGAGACAGTTGTAGCTGCGGAGGCCGCCTTATTGCATTGCGCATTGCTCTGTTGTGCAGCAGGTCCTCAGCAATAACATTGTTTCACTCAGTGTTGTTTCATTGTAGCGGTGATTAGACACTATTGGAACCTAACTCTGTTTATGTCAATCAGCCTCTGGTAAATGAGTTTCGTTACAGGTCCTTTCTCTTAAAGTCACAGCCCCTCGCTGTGATGTTCAGTGAGGACTCACCGTGTTTGTAGTCTGGTGATGGAGGCGATGAGCTCGGGGCACCAAAAGAACTCAAGAGGCTGCACTCTCCCCTCCCCTGCCCCAGACTCGGGGAATGGTGGAGGGAATCCTTTTCCATCCCCTTCAGTGGTGGTTGTTTTACGCTATTGGCCACCTGAGCTTCCTTCGGTCGCCTGGTCTCGCATCTCTAATAAATGTACTTTGATGAGCTGTCTGATAGCTGATACCGGACTCGAAGCGCGTTCTCTGTCTTCTGAACTTACGCAGCGACCCTCAGAGGAGGAGGAGCCGGGCGGTGGGAGACTGGGTGCAACGTCTGACCGCAGAAGTTGAGTCGAATGGACGGCACAGGGAGAGGAAAGGTTCGGCCCCAAGTCCGTTATCCCATTCTAGGGGCGAGTCCGCCCAGGTGTTTAAAGTGGTTGTATGGGCCCTGGCCAGGTGGCTCAGTTGGTTGGAGCCACGTCCCATACACCAAAAGGTGTTGGGTTCAGTTTCCGGTCAGGGCACATACCCAGGTTGCGGGTTCAATCCCCAGTCTGCAGTGATCCCAGTACTTGAAATGAAATGCAACAGAGGAGGGGTCATCTGAGCGCACAGGTGTGAGGGAGACCCCGCTTCCCCAAACTGTGTGCCGTAGACCTGGTTCCCTACCCAGGCTGCTGCAGGACTTCCATTGCCCCACACTTTGAACGTGAAGCTGGGGGTCCCCAGAGACCCCGGTGCCCGAGCCTGGTCGGCAGGGTCCTGGGACGGGAGAGGGAGCTGGGCCTCACCCGGTGTGTTCGCAGCAGGTGCGAGCGGGAGGGAGATCCTGTTTGCTGCGCCTGGCTGGTGTTTCATGTGGCATCGCCTTATCCCGCTCTTCATTGATTGGCCCTGGAGGGCAAAGCGGATAAGCCGGTTTCTGCTGGCCTTATGCCCAGAGCTGAGGGGAGCAGTGTGACAGTGGCCAGGCCAGGGGGTATCACCTGTGGGCTTCGCCCCACGACACATTCCCCCTGAGTATCCAGTGGCCCCCGCTGCCTCCCTGCCTCCCCCACCCCAGGGAGCAGCTGTCCGGATGGGTGTGGGCTGTGTCCCTCGGATGTGTGGTAACTGCAGGCTCCACAAGGTGCTGGGACCATGTCTGTCCTGCTGACTGCTGTGTCCTAGCACCTGACCTGAGGTGTCCCTGAAGCAGGGCCTGGCCCAGACCAATGAACAGAGGAGTCGGGGCTCCCAGCAGCTCCAGGCTCTCATGTCTCTGGTCTTCCCAGGAAGGTTCCGGAAGAGCCATTTGCCCCTAGCTCCTGTTTGCTTTCCTGTTCGGGAATTTATGGGGCTCTTTCTTCCAGGGCAGGAAACCAAGGCTGTGGGCCCGAGGGAGCCGCCCAGAACAGGCTGGTCTGGGAGTGTGTAGCTCTCCTTGGTCCCATCTGGTGGCTCCCATGGGTCATGTGCCCAGGCTGTGCCCTCCTGGTCCTGGGCAGGGGCCTCCCCACATTGCTCAGGGCCACGGCTCCATGTGGGCTCTGCCAGCCGGTCGGGGAGGGACTGGAAAACCTCCCTGGGTCACAGTCAGGTCTTGGCAGTGCCCCTGGTGTGTGTGGGCAGTGGAAAAGTGGCGGCATGTGGCGGGTCTAGAGGCTGGAGAGGGCAGGAAACAGACTCTCCCTGGAGCTTCCAGAGGGAGCTTCCCACTGCCAAGCACACCTGGGCCTCACACTGTAAGGTACATAGATGTTGAACCACCGGCACACACCTGAGACTCATGTACTTGCGTAAGTCAAGTACACCTTAGTAAAAATTACAAGTAAAAACAGATAAGAGAGAGACATCCTCGACCTGGAGTTGCCAGGAGGCTCCCCAGGGAGGGGCCTGTGCCCACAGGACCTGCTTAGTAGTGAACCAGCATCCGTTTGGGGCTGACTGGTGTGAGGCAGGACGCTGTCCCGGGGACACTGGCCAAGCCCATGACCTTGGGCCCCGATGCATCTCCTCTCCCCCTCCCCAGGTAGGTGTGAGGAGCCCCACCTGGGCCGAAGTGTGCAGAGGATGGGAACACTCCCCCGGCAATGTCTCTGGGCCGCCTCCTTCGCCGGGCCTCCTCCAGAGCCTCAGACCTCCTGACCCTCTCCCCGAGTGGTGGCGGCCCGCCCCCCTCGGTCCTGGATGGGGAGATCATCTACTCCAAGAACAATGTCTGTGTGCACCCGCCCGAGGGGCTGCAGGGGCTGGGGGAGCACCACCCAGGTGAGCTGGGAGAGGGGAGGGCGTGGGGTCCAGGCCTGGAGGGAGGGACTGGGGTCCGGGGCCTGAGGTGAGCTCTCTAACCACCAAGCCCCAGCTTCAGAGGCCCTGCCTCACTTCCCCACTTGCCTTCACCTTGACCCTGTGGACACCTGACCGGTGATGGGGCCGACTCTGCAGACGTGTGTGCTGGGGGTAGGGAGTGGGTTCTAGGCCCAGGTCTGAGGGAGCTACGTGTTCTGGGTATAAAACAAAAGGAACAGCGTGGCCCTTGGAGAGCTCTGTGGTTTAGTCCTGTTGTGACGGAAGGTGGAGGAGGGGGGCAGAAGTCTGGGGCTCTCTTCCCTGCCCCAAAGCCACATGGTCTGAGCGTGGAGACACTTGGCCTCCCAGCGGTTCTCCTTGTGCACAGCTGGCTGTTGGCCCCGGGCTCTTGGAATGGGAGCCATGGTGGGGCCAGAGCCCTAAGGGCTGTAAGGGCCCAGCTCCCGGGGGCCTGTGCAACGGGCCTGGGAATCAGAACATCCTGAAATGGCAGGTGCGGCCTTGGGAAATGACACTGTCCCCCCAAACGGAGCGTGCAGGAGCCCAGAGAGCCCACCCACTTGCTGCCGGCCTCCAAGAAGCCGCCCTTCGTCACTCTCAGCAACCCAGCCAGTGACATGAAAGATGACCCCTTCTTCCAAAAGCCGCATCAGAGAAAAAGATGCGAGAGGGTGGCAGCTGGCTGGGAAAGACCCCACGCCAGCCGCCCATCCTGGAATTATTCTTGTGAAATAGTCTGTGGCCTGCGTCCCCCCCAACAGTGCCGTGACCCTGTTTGCTGGCTCCTGGGCCCACCGGATGGGGACACTGACCAACCCCAGGCAGGGAAGCCTCTGGGGCCACCAGACAGTGGACGGGGGGGGAGGGGCCTCTGAACTCGAGGAGGGCCTGGTGGTTGGAAAACACACGACAGGCCACTGCTCAGGGGCGGCGCTCCCCACTCTGCTGAGTGTATGCTCAGTAAATGCCCATGGCTGTGGCTCATCCCGAGCCCCACTGTCCCAGGTGCGTCCCCCCGAGGGCCAGGCTATGTCCGCAGCTCCCCCCTCTGCACAGCCCTGGGCTGTGGCCCCTGAGAAGCCGGCCCCACTTCACGGCCCTCGCTAACCACCGCCCTCCCCCACAGGCTACCTGTGCCTGTACCTGGAGAAGGAGGAGCTGCTGGGGGCAACCCTCATCCTCGCGTGGGTCCCCAACTCTCGGATCCAGAGGCGGGATGAAGAGGCGCTCCGCTACATCACCCCCGAGAGCTCCCCCGCGCGCAAGGTGCCCCGTCCGCGGGGCCGGCGCGCCCAGAGCTCGGGCGCCCCCCTCCAGGTCTCCCCCACCGAGCCGAGGCCCACGCTGATCCCCAGAGAGGAGGGCATCCTGGTGGTGGCCCAGAGCCTCCAGGACACCGTGCATGTCAGCCCTTCGCCCGAGGATGGGGAGAAGCTGGTGCAGGGCCTGGGGACCGACAGCCCCCTCCCGGCCTTGCAGCCGGCCCACAGCGACTCCGGGATCTTGTCCACGGTCAGTTCTCAAGATGGGACCGAGGAGGGGCGGGAGCCGCGGCCCGAGGCCGGCGAAGAGGAGGGCTCCCTGGAGCTTTCGGCCGAGGTGAGCAGGGACAGCTCCTTCGACTCGGACTCGGACGCCTTCTCCTCCCCCTCCTGCCTGTCGCCCGTCAGCGCCGCCCTGGCGGAGAGCAGCAGCTCCGTGTTCCTGGAGGGCGAGAGCGGGTGAGTTCCCGATTCTGGTCCTGGGCTCTCCGACGGGGCATGTTGGGGCCCGTCGCCGGTGTCGCCAGCTCTGCAGGTGCCAGCTGTCCCCATGCCAGGGCCAAGCCCTCGGGTCCCATCACTTTATGCCACCCGAGAGGATTGTGCCTGCGGTGGGCTGATGAGAGATGGTTATCACAGCCACTGGGCAGCGTCCTGAGGACCCACAGACGTGGTCATGCATGAGGCTCATGCGCAGGACGCTTGTGCTAACCCAGCCCAGCCAGGGCCAGCACAGGGCGGGCCGCCTCTGGCCAGAGGTCACCCAGCCAGGCCCCTCGCCAAGCTGGATTTGAGCCCAGCTGGGGCCACACCAGACTCGGAGCACGCAAGGTCCCTAGGACCCCTGTGAGCCCGCAGCCAGGGAGCAGAACGCAGGGGCGCTTGGCCGGTCTCGGCGGAAAGGAATTTGAGATTCTCTCTGATATCGTTCCCTCGATAAATTGTGGTCCATTAAAGCCCAAGGGTGACCTGAGAACATTTGTGTCAAGCGCTGGGGAGTTGGTTTAAAAGGAGCAGTGAGCTGTGACCCAGGACTCTGGGTGCCGGGTGAGGCTGGCTGAGCTGGGTGCTGTTTCCAACCTGGAATGAAGCTCAGGCCCAGCCTGGGTCCTGCCGTGGGCCTTAGGGCTCCCCCTGCTGGTGCCACATTGTCAGCGCAGCGATCCCTGCGGGGGGTCCGGCACCCCCAGGGCCCAGGCTGGGCGAAAGGTGCCCGAGCTCTGGTCTTCACTGTGCCCTAGAGAGGTGGCAGGCCTGGCTGACGGTCCCGTGGCTGAGGGTGGCTGAGGTCTCAGTAGCAGAACAAGAATCGGGGTGGGGGGCTGCTCAGCTCTGCTCAGCAGCCTGGTCCCATGGGAGCTTGGATTTGGGAATTGGGGGACCTGGTTGGCGTGAGGCTGGGCAAGCTCCTTACCAGCTCGGAGCCTCCATGTCCTCCTTCGTAAGATGGGGGTAGTAATGTTTGTTTTATGGGATTACCCTGAGAGTTCACTCCTGGCCTCGCCTCTCCTCCTTGGTGGTTCTGCAGCCCGGCTGCCGTGGGAATCCCCCAGGGGACCTTTTACACAATCCCGATGCCCAGGCAGTTCCCTGAGCAGTGATTCTTGCTCAGGGCTGCTTCTGCCCCCAGGGGACATGTGACAATGTCAGGAGATATATTTGTCACAACCGGAGGGAGGTGTTATTGGCTTCTAGTAGGTGAAGGCCAGGGATGCTGGCAAACGCCCCGCAACGCACAGGACATCCCACGACAGGGTGATCTGGCCCAAATGTCCAAAGCGCGAGGCCTAGAACTTCCTAGAGGTTCCAACTGCCTCGTGGGGCCCAAGTCGGGAAATCGTCTTGTTTCTTTAATTGTCGTAAAATACACGTAACACAGACTTGCCAATGTAACCATTTTAACTGTACAATTCCGCGGCATTCGGTGCATTCGCAGTGGTGCAGCCACCACCGCTATCCAGTTCCAGAACTTTCTCATAGTCCCAAGCGGAGAACCTGAGCCCACTCACAGCCAC